AGCGATGAAAAAACCTACACGGCTGCTCTCAATGAAGTTCAATTTGATCCATACACTGTCGAAGGTATTCCAAGTACCAATCCGATCTGTCAAAAGAAAGCTATTGTTAAGGATGCCAAAGGTGAAATAGTGGTACGATTTGTTGATCGCTGTCGCGATTGTAAAAACGGTAAATGCATTCGACTTCATAATATTGATGATTTTACTGGATCCATTCTAGGTGATATCGGCCTGACTTATGATGGTTTCATGACCGTGGCTGGTGAACTTGGTGATGGTCATACCGACATCACATGGCATTTTCTTTAAAATGAAAAAGCAGACAGAAGTATAACTTCAAGATTTTATTTTTCTTCTTAAACGATGTAATCGCTAACTTCTTTGCAGTCAATATTAATTGTTCCACTTTTCTTTTCCCTATCTACTGCAAAAATAAATTTTATCATTGTCACACTGCATACAGTAAAGCAAGATTGATGCTATTCTCCATCGTCATCAACGACGGATGTGATATTTACCTTATTCAAAAAAATAAGATTTTTGAATAAAAATCATAGTGGCACTTAACATTGATAGTTTCAGTAAGATTCGATAGACACTTATTCCGTATTCATCAACTGATAGTTTGAACATGATTATAGTAAGAATTAAATTACTATGTAGAGACCACATTTGGCGACACGAATGTCAACAACTGGTTGAACATGCTTCGTACTACATTGTTTTCACACAAATCTTTCAGACAATCAAACTACATAAGAACTTAACATATCATTCACTTCACGGAAAATTTCTCTTTCACACTGACCTCGCTGCAAAAACGCACATTCAGCCATATTCTGTTATTTTTTTACTCTTATTGATAATGTATGAGTATTGTGGCCGCATGAATCTTGGAAAAATTCAACTCATCGCATCTTGATAAGATCTCAAACTGTTTGCACACGTGCGCATGTCGATGAGTTTGTTTGCAAGAACTGATGAAGTTGTGCAGAAGGTTTGAGTCATATCTAATGCATAGAGTAAGATAAATAGAAACAGGTAATTTTCAAAATGAGTTCACAGACATATTTGTATTGCATCAATATTACTTTCTCTTAATATTATATTCACAATAATTTTCATTTTCAACGATATCGATTGAAATACCGTAGCCGAATGGATGTGGATTTGTCAACAATAGATAAGATTGCAAACTACTTTAAATGAAATCTATATTATACCTATGAGAACGATTCTGGCGAGAATGACTCCTGTGAACCAGCTGATAACAATGAATTACGATAGACGCCAGATTCATGCTCTATTATTGAACAGTCGTTCATATGTAAAACCGAGATATCATTAGGTGTGGGTGTGGACGAATGTTGGAGTCTTCTCTTCGCACCTACCTATACCTACCTTCTTGATGATCAATAACCTATGTCAATGTATCATATTCTAGAAAGTGGCTATTTATAGGTTAGTGTGGGTGAGATTATTCATTTCTTCCAGACTCTAATTAACAGATTGAATTTGATTTATGATAATGTTATTGTGAAAAAACTGCTTGGAAGTGTGCATCATGTTTTTTTCTTGTCCGACGAATGTCAACACTTTTTCCCTTGTACTCATCGAAAGTGTGACAGAACTGTTACCATAAGTCGGAAGAAAAATCAGCCAAAAAGAAGAACTGAAAATTTCTCCGTCATGTATAGTGCTATTTTTTTAAAAAGAATCTACATCCAAGCCACTTTCTGACGCGAATAAGATGCCTGCGTATGTGCAACACTATAAAATTGGTTTACGCGACCTAACTGTTGGAGTAACCGTGCATGACATTGATATAGCTCGGTTCATGTACTAGTTTGAGTCCGTGTGTTATACAATTGAATACAATGACAGTGATGTTCAACGTTATCGGAACTATGCACACTGGTCATCACTGTCGCACGCGGAAGTTCGTGTGTTGTTCGACTCTTAATCCTAATGTGTTCAATAAGAAAATATTTTTGCAATCAGATGCCTTGTGTTAACACTTTAATAATCACTTTTATGAAATCAGTCAAGTTCGACATCAATTGTTGGTTGTTGAGTCGATTTTTGTCGCAGGCCGGACATGTCGAGTCAATAGAATCATGACCTATAAAGCGGATTGGATGAAACAATATTACTATGACCCAATGAGATGGCTCCGCCAAAGCTTGAGCTCTAAACTATCGAACAAATCGTCGAGCCGCGTTATTTTATAGTAGATAAAACCTTGTTTTTTTGTTGTTGAATAAATCAAATAAGAAACCAATGATTTTTCATAAGATGCGATCGGAATCTTGTCTCCAATAGAGACAAGAGTGTGAATCATGTGCTTGCTATTGGATTGAACAGAAAAAGACGACCATTCTCAGGGATGAACTGGATCCGGTCGTTGGTTGTGAATTCACATGTGGGTTTGGCTGAGAACAATATGAATACCTGCACTGCGGCTGCATCCACATCTTTATTCATAAACACTGGATGGACAAACTTTTCGAAATCTCTGTCACGATCGGTGATTTTGAGGATGTTCGTAAATCAATTCAAAAACTGACCGAGCTATCTTCTAACGAAAAGACAAATTCAATCTGCTGATCTCAACAGCTGCTTTTCAGCAATTGATGACGTCAGAAATCAATACATCATAGGATAATAAAAAAATGTACTTGAATTTGAATAAGTAAAGAGATGCAAAGTTTATTTCGTCAGCACGTTTCGTGTCACTTATTTCGATAATAAGGTATGGATGTGCGTGGTTGGAGGTGTATATCGGATGTGAGGATGCGGGTGTTTTTTTCTATCATCCCACACTCACATCCTACATACCCTAGTCTCAACCCTCCATATTCCTTGACAAATCCTGGAAGGATTTGCCAGGATCTTGATCAGAATTTCAACGGGTTTCTACACAGATTTTTTTCTAAATTATGAATACAGAATCCTACAAGGATTCAATCTTAATCCTGCTCATGATCTTTGCAGGAATAACAAAGAAGATTCTCACAAGATTTCATCAAGTTTTAGGCAGGATCTGATCTGAATCTGACACAAGAGTTCAACCAAATACTATTGCTAAATTACACGAGGATCTTAACAAGAATCCAAGAGAAGAATGTATCAGTGGCTGTGGCAGTACGTTGACGTAAGGTAAACCCGCATTCGCACGCAAAATTACATCTTGTTTCGCGAATTATTACTGGTTCAAAAACAAGTTGTAAACTGCTAAGGATTCTGATTGAATTTTGTCTCGACTCCTGTCAGAATCTTGAAATTCCATGTCCACACACTTTCTTCAAGATTTTGTCAGTTCATCAGGAAAAAATTTTGACGTGAGAGTGACATTCGCTTGATAAAAACCAATTTTCTTTGTATTTTTATTCTCCAATGATATTTTTCAAAAATTATTATAAAATGGGATGTTAATTTTAATTAGATTATTTCAATATTTTTCCATTGAATAGCTACTTTTGGTCTATAGCGTATTTTTCTGTAAAACTGCTCATTGTTTCATTTATGCATAAGAAAAATTATTACTATATTTTTAAAACCGAATGAAAATTAAAAGTAAATATGAAAGTTTTCACAATCGAAAGCAAAATATTTGGAATTATATTGTATTTTTAAAACTTTTTTGAGATGACTTCCATTGATAAAACACAGGAATGGAAATTTAAACTTAAGCAACGATTTAAAATATTGAATATTGAAGTTGAGTGTGGGTATCGATGTGTGATGTAGCTGTTGATGTGAGCATGGTTGTGTGTGTGTGGTTGGATGCGGGAATAGCTGTGTTCTATTGTTCTTTGCAACCACACCCCGCATTATAGAAGTAGTATAGCTGAGAAAAAGACTGATATTAATCTAGCAGTGTCCTATATACTGGAAATCGAGGATGCTGGAAATGCAAAAGGATATGCGAGATCTACCAAACGATTTTTCACACACTATTCAACTATTATAAGTACCTGGAATTTTTATGGGAGATGCAGCTTCTCTTGCATCTTCGTCTCTCGACATCTAATAAAATTCTTTCTTTTAATTGTTCGCTTAAGAACCATGTGGGAGATGCATGTCCTCCATCTTCTCCTATTTCACATTTCCTGACGAAAAAAAAAAAAAATTTTTTTGATTTTTTGTATAATGTCATTTTTCATTTCTTAGAAATCTAACTAAATACGCAAAAAGCGAATCTTAGAGATATTGACTATGTCAATGATGCATGAGATACTTAGAGCGTCTTGCTTGACAGATGATGGGTATGAAGATACTGACACACGAAAAAACACACAGCACATCTCTCTCAACTGAAGACAGCATTAAATCAGAAAGAAGCGTCATACGTTGTCGTTCGTATTTTTTGAAGTACTTTAGTTCACTGTAAAGAAGTTGAAAGTACTTTAGTGTACTTATACTTGGGTGTGAACCATTTTTTTCATGTGGTTTAATTAACGTAAAGCTGAAATAACTTTATTGAATCATAGGCACGAATGAAAAATGAACACCAGTCACTAGATGAATGCGTATATTAATGGTTAACAAGTTATGTAAGGGACCTGCCCCTTTCTCGAGCTAAAATTTTCAGTTTTTTGCCATTTTTGGTTTTTTCTGGTTAGTATATAGATTTAAATGCTCCCTATCTAATGGGCGTATTCTAACAACTATAAAGGTACGTTTTATATATAAACAAAATCGAGAAAAACTACAAAATAAGTTGAAACAATCGAAAAAGTCAACTTTCCTTGAACTTTTCTCAAAATGACATTTTCGAACAAAAAATTAAAGTTTTTCCTCCTTTTATCCTACAAGGTAAGGCATATAGAGCTGAAACCTTTTTTTTTTAATACTTGGATTAAATTAGGAGTGAATATTATTTTTTTGCTCTTAAAAATATTGTTTCTAGAGAGTTTTTCAGGCGCTTTATCTGTGGTAAAAATTTCAGCCCGATCGGTGATACCCTCTTCGAGAAACAGAAATGGTCAAAAAACAAGGGAAGGAGTCTCTTAAATCATCCCAGTAAATTATTCAAAAATAATTCTTGAAGATTAAATATTTACACATTAATCAGTATCAATTAAGTATCTCGATATCTCTTAACAAAATACACATTTTATCCAATATTATGGATATAACTAATAATACTGTGTATCAACCATTTACTTAATTCAATACTAAATGATTTCAATACATCGCAATCATGTTAAAAGCTATGAAGTTTAAAGTAATCTTACTTTCTATTTTCTTTTCACTAACTTCATCTATTGAGTACGCAGCCACACTTACCATTATCATTTCATCTT